AGAAATCAACAGCAGCCCAAGGGAAGATGAATGGATTTCTGTGCAAAATGCAATCAAGAATTTGGCGGTGTCTTGCAAAAGTTTGGAGAATCAGTTGGCCCAGATTGCAAAACAAAATGCTGAAAGACCATCTGGAAGCCTGCCCAGTGATACGGTTGTAAACCCCAAGGGGAAGGACCAAGAGCAAGCAAAGGTTGTCACTCTTAGAAGTGGAAAGCAACTCAATCAGCCAAGTGAAAAAAGTCACTCCCGTGAGTGACCCTGCAGGTAAGAATGAAACATTTCCTGAAAAAATATCTGATAATGATGATGTGGTTGAACAGGAGCAAACAGCTGAAAAACCTGGAATGGAGGAAATTCAATTCCCAGCACCAATTAAGGAACCACAACAGCCAGCTCCAAATCCACCATATCCGGTAAGACAAAAGAAGGCCAAAATGGATGAAGGACTCAACATGTTTATTCAAAACTTAGAAAGTATACATATTAATGTACCACTTGTTGATGCACTTAAACAAATGCCTAAATACTTCAAGTACTTGAAAGATTTGGTGGCCAATAAACCACAAGTGCATGACTCTGCTTTTGTCACTCTAAATGAAGAATGTAGTGCAGCTATCCTGAGAAAATTGCCACCTAAGTTGAAAGATCCAGGTAGTTTCACTTTGCCTTGTACAGTAGGAATCAGAGAATTTTCAAAAGCATTATTAGATCTTGGGGCGAACATAAATCTCATGCCATTGTCTGTATTTAAATCACTTGATTTGGACAAATTTCTGGTACCTACTAACATGACCTTGCAGTTGGCGGATAGGTCACAGACCTACCCAAAGGGAATCTTACATGATGTTCTTGTGAAGGTTGGTAATTTTGTTTACCCAGCAGACTTTGTGGTTTTGGACATGGAAGAAGACAGGGATGTGCCCAGCATCTTGGGGAGACCTTTTCTGGCAACAAGTGATGCAATCATTAAGGTGAAGAAGGGAGAAATCACACTGCACTTTGATGGAGAGAAGGTTACCTTCAACATCTTCAAAAATATGAGATATCCTGCTGAATTCCATAACTGCTACATCGTAAGAAGTGTAGAAGCAGAAGAAACAGTGACAGAAGAATTACTGCAAGATGATCTCCTCAAGGAACTTTTGTGCCCAGACTATAATGAGGAACAAGAAGGAGGGGATGAGTACAGGGCCACTTGCCTGAGTTACCTGAACCACTCACCCAAGTGGCATCCTAAACAACAACCCTTTGAACTGTTAGATCTAACTAAGGAAGGAAGATGCCTCAAACCTTCAATTGAAGAACCACCTCATCTCGAACTTAATCCTCTGCCCTCACATTTGAAGTACGCCTATATTGGAGCAAGCAACAGCTTACCTGTGATCATTTCTTCTATGCTTACAGGTACTGAAGAGGACAAATTACTGAGAGTACTGAGATTGCACAAGGAAGCCATTAGGTGGTCAATTGCAGACATTAAGGGCATCAGTCCTTCCATATGTATGCACAAGATCTTGCTTGAAACGATGCCAAGCCAACCATTGAAGGACAAAGAAGGCTCAACCCAGTCATGAAGGAAGTGGTAAGAAAAGAGATTATCAAGTTGCTGGATGCTGGAATCATCTTCCCAATATCTGACAGCAAGTGGGTAAGTCCAGTGCAATGCGTGCCCAAGAAGGGAGGAATCACGGTGATAAAGAATGACCTCCAGGAGCTAATCCCTACAAGGATGAACAATGCATGGAGAGTGTGCATGGACTACAGAAAGCTTAATAAAGCTACCAGAAAGGACCACTTTCCCCTTCCTTTTATTGATCAAATGTTGGATAGATTGGCTGGATTTATGTATTATTGTTTCCTTGATGGTTTCTCAGGTTACAACCAGATTGCCATAGACCCTGATGATCAAGAGAAGACGACTTTCACCTGCTCTTATGGCACATTTGCCTTCAAGAGAATGCCATTTGGACTGTGCAATGCACCGGCAACATTTCAAAGATGTATGATGGCCATTTTCTCTGATATGGTGGAAGACATAATTGAGATCTTTAAGGACGACTTCTCGGTTTTTGGTAAGTCATTTGATGCATGTCTGGACAACCTTGGACTGATATTGAAGAGATGCATAGAAGCAAACCTAGTCCTCAACTGGGAGAAATGCCATTTTATGGTGACCGAGGGAATTGTCTTGGGGCATAAAATCTCACAGAAAGGAATTGAAGTGGATAAGGCAAAGATTGAAGTCATTGAGAGGCTCAACCCGCCAACCACAGTCAGGGGAGTGAGGAGTTTCTTAGGCCATGCCGGTTTTTACAGGAGGTTCATTAAAGATTTTTCAAAAATTTCTAAACCCTTGTGTAACTTGCTTGAAGAGGACACTGCTTTTATTTTTGATGAATCCTGTTTAAATGCATTCACTGAACTAAAAAGGAAACTCATCACTGCACCTGTGATCATCACACCTGATTGGTCACAACCTTTTGAACTAATGTGTGATGCTAGTGATTTTGCAGTTGGTGTCTTACTTGGGCAAAGAAGGAACAAGGTGTTACATGTGGTTTACTATGCTAGTAAAACCCTCAACCCTGCACAAATCAACTACACCACTTCAGAGAAGGAAATGCTGGCAATTGTATTTGCATCAAATTCAGAGCTTATTTGCTAGGAATGAAAGTCATAGTCTATACCGACCATGCTGCCATCAGGTACTTGATCAACAAAAAAAAGTCTAAGCCTAGGTTGATTAGATGGGTGTTGTTGTTGTAGGAATTCGATTTGGAGATAAGAGACAGAAAGGGTGCTGAGAATCAGGTAGCGGACCATCTGTCAAGACCTGAAGAAATTCCAGAAGACACAACTCCAATTTCAGAAAAATTCCCTGATGAGTCACTATGGCGAGTGACAGGCACACTCATGGGAGTGACAGGTAACAGGCCTTGGTTTGCAGATTTTGCTAACTTTGTTGCTGCTGGTGTTATTCTCCCAGATCTCACCCCTCAACAACGCAAGAGATTCTTGCATGATGCTCAACTCTACCTATGGGATGAACCCTACTTATTCAAAAGATGTGCAGACCAATTGATCAGAAGGTGTATTCCAGAATCTGAATTCACAGAGGTGTTGCATAAATGCCACAATTCTCCCTATGGTGGACATTTCAACGGACAAAGAACGACAATCAAGGTTCTGCAAGTTGGACTGTATTGGCCAACTCTGTTCAGAGATGCAAGAGAATTTGTCAAAGGCTGTGACCGGTGCCAAAGGACAGGAAACATTTCCTGGAAAAATGAGATGCCACAGCAGAACATGCTTGAAGTGGAGCTGTTTAATGTATGTGGGATAGATTTCATGGGTCCCTTTGTGTCATCCTTTGGGAACTCCTACATCCTACTGGCAGTGGATTACGTTTCAAGATGGATAGAAGCCGTAGCTTCAAGAAATAATGATGCTAAGACTGTTCTCAGGTTTCTAAGAAAAAACATTTTTGCCAGATTTGGTACACCCAAGATGATACTCAGTGACGAAGGATCACACTTTTGTAACAAGTCATTTGCAGCCATGGTAAAGAAATATGGAATCAGGCACAGAGTATCAACACCATACCATCCACAATCAAACGGGCTAGCAGAAGTGTCAAACAGGGAAGTGAAAAGAATCCTGGAAAAAGTTGTCTACTCTACCAGAAAGAATTGGTCCTCAAAATTGGATGAAGCTTTATGGGCATACAGAAAAGCATACAAGACTCCCATTGGTATGTCCCCGTTCAAATTGGTCTATGGGAAAGCATGCCACTTGCCAGTGGAGTTGGAATATAAAGCTTACTGGGCTATCAAGGAACTGAATCTTGATCCAGGCAAAGGCAAGGAAATGAGATTGATGCAGTTGAATGAGCTGGAAGAATTCAGACGAGAGGCATATGAATCTTCCAGGCTTTATAAGGAAAAAACTAAGGCCTACCATGATCAGCACATTGTCAAGAAGGATCTGCAAGAAGGACAAGAACACCGTGCTGTTCAACTCTAGACTGAAATTCTTTCCAGGGAAGTTGAACTCAAGATGGACGGTCCCTATAGAATCAACAAGGTTCTAACTCAAGGAGCAGTAGAGATCATGAATCCACAGAATGGCAACACCTTTTTGGTTAATGGTCAGAGGCTTAAACCATACCTTGGATGGACAGAAGGGAGTAAAGGACAGAACTATCATGTTCTGGTCCTAAAGGAACTTAACTGAGAACTCTTTTGAAGTCTGGCATGAGACTTAAAACCAATGCGCTTTATGGGAGGCAACCCATACGTTTTGTTTTTATGTGGCTAACAATGTGCTATTTTAATTTTGCGGGAATGGACAAGGTATTTGCCACCCCCAACAGATTTCAGAAAGTGTAACATAAAAGGCCTCAGGTAAACTCACTCCTAGGAGTGAAGAAGGTCACTCAGCTGAGTGAACCTACGGGAAAGTAATGCTGTAAGTCTTCTAACCCTGACGTCACTCACGCAAGTGGGACAATCCACTCGCCTGAGTAAGAACAACTGTACAACACTTTCTGCAAAAACCCACCTTTTTGAGCTGTAATTATGGCTTGAGTTTGGGGGGAAAATTTTTTTTCCGGAAATTTTCAAATTTCAATTTTAACTGCGTCCGTTTTTTTTGAGTCACTCGAGTCAGCCACGACTCCCCAAAAACTTTAACTGCTGTGCATTAATTCACAACTCCTCTACTGCTTCGTCTTCTTCATCTTCTCCCTATTTCCAGAACCACCTATTCAATTACCACTTCCCTGTGTGAACGTACTGACAATTTCTCTGAGTTTTCAGGAAACTAAGGCAAAAATCCAGATTCAATCAAAAATCCCTCTTTCAATTTGCCAATTCAATCCCTAGGGTTTGTACAAGATGCCGCCGGCAAGAAGGAAGGTTGCTGCCCGCAAAAACACCTCCAACACAAGAAGAAGGATATCATCCTCCTCATCCTCACCCTCTCCTGAACGGCAAAGAATGCCCACTCCACCACTATCCCCTGCCAGAGAACCAACTCCACCGCCGCCTCCACAACCACCAAGGGCTTTGCAAGAACAAGCCCTCAATGCCATCACCGATGAGTGGGAGCCGAGGTTGTTTCCAAGAAAGAAGGGCTGGGATTTCTTTTTGAAGCACATACGCCAGAAATTTATTACCGAAAGAGGAATCGATGAAGACGGCACAGCTTTCACCTATATCAAGCGCCATGGATAGGAGACCTTCTCCAACCCTCCTATCAAGCCTAAGATCCAGATTGTGCAAGAATTCTATGGCAACTTCCATACTGCCCCCAGAGATGAAGTATTTGTCGGAGGCATCAGCGTCAATTGCAGCACAGAAGCTATCAGGGCCATCTGGAAGTTACCAAGAATCAGCACTGATTATAGGGAAACCCTTGCTGCCCTGCATCCAAATCAACCACTGGAACACGCCGTCCTGTCTAGATTGGCAAAAGAAGGCACAGGCTGGGAGATGGATGATCAAGAAAACCCTCTGGGATTTCCAGGAAACGCGTTACAGACGTCTGATTTAAATTTGTGGCACCATTTCATCTGCTGCAATCTGATGCCAACATCCTACACCGCTAAGGTCACCTATGAGATGGCTCTGCTGCTGTATGCCATTGTCACGGACACACCATTTGATGCAGCCTCAGTCATCCGAGATCAGCTCACCCGATGCATCACTGATCCAAAGGTGAAGAGCTGGTATTTTCTAGTTATGATCACCATGCTTTGCAAGAGGGCAGGGGTGACCTTCCTACACACAGACGTAGAGAGCAACTTGCAGCAACCATTGAGGATGCATAAATTGGACCAAAAACCCCCAGGTGCCTCATCCTCAGGACAAGCAACATCCACTCCCACTCCAGCTGGACAATTGAGGCAGAGGGATTTCAACAAGCAGACCAGGTTCATCCTGGATTATGTCCAACAATGCCAGATGAGGACAGAGAAATTCCTGCAGGAAATGCACAAGTGCATTGGATGCCCTGAAAACTGCCCAATGCCGCATGATCCACCAGTCCACCCACTCCATGGCATGCCTCAATGAACACTCAGGGAAGTGTTGTTCTACTTCCCTTAATTAGCAATTTATTTTTTCTGTTAAAATGATGCATTTCTCGTTAGTTCTGTATTTTTCTTTGTTTTCTGTTTAATGTGTGTTGCCGGGTTTGTTTTGTTAAGCATTGAGGGCAATGCTTAGAATAAGTTTGGGGGAGTAATGTAGTAGTTAGTTTGTGGTTAGGTCAATGTCAGGACAGTTGTCATTTAGGTCCATTAGGTTTGTAAAATATCTCTCAAAAATAAAAATTTTCAAAGGAGCTGTCAACAGTCTAGGATGATAATGGTTTTGAAAAACAATTTTGCTAAACCACTTTTGATACTGAGTCTGATGCATGAAGGAAAGAATGGCTAACACTCACTCACACACATGAACAATGCCACTCGTGGAAGTGACTGCCTGGAACATAAAGTTTAAAAATTTGGCATGACTAATCCACTGTTGTGAGCTGTGTCTAGTTCTGAGCTATAATTAGATAAGAGATGCCGTAAATCTGAGACTTCCTTTGTGGTATCCATTCACAGCCTACCTGTTTTTTTGAAGAAAAAAAAAATTGTTGTTTCTAGGGAATGGATCAACTGAAACCTCAGGGGTAACAGCAAGGAACCACCACAAAAAGTTCCAAACTGTTGGAGTAATAAGGGTTGAGGTATAAGGCAGTGGAGAGATAAGGTTGAATAACACCCATGTTAGGTTGGTCCATCCACATTCCCACTGAAAAAAAATAAAAGAAAAAGAGAAAGCAGAAAGGTTGTGCAGGAATCCATGTTTAAAGCCTCAGTAGGTAAATCGAGTCAAGTAACTTGGGCAAGACCAGATCACAAGAATGACCACCAAAAGCTTAACCGGTTAACTTAGAATGGATTGGTAGGTTTGGCATGAACTAACACTTGTGGCATAGACATTCTAATTCCCTGTGAAGGTTGGTTGTTTGACTCTGGATTGCAGAAAGATGTGGTATCCTTAAATGTATGTTTTCTTCACTTGAATCTAAGACAAAAGGTTGACAGCACCTATCAAGTTGTGTTTAAGGTTGTTGCTTTGTTCAGTGTCACCTGCCTGAGTGGGAATCCTCACTCAGGGAAGTAAGTCAGTCTTCAGTCATTTTGACAATGTTGTTTTCCCCTGTTTGTTATGTGTAATTCTGAAGGTGCCAACAAGAGTTTAGTTGTTTTGCTTGAGGACAAGCAATTCTTCCAGTTTGGGGGAGTTGATAATGGTTTATTTGTTACATAAAAGTATCACAATTAACTCTGAATTTAGTAAGAAATGGGGGGTATTTCCTATTATTTGTGCACTCTACTTAACCAGTTTTTGTGTTTTTGTTAGGTTGGGGTTCGATTGTAAAATTGCTGAAAAATTAAGGTCAAGGGAACAATTTGTGGGCTGCTAAGGCAAATGTTGCTGAGCTGGACGAAGAAGCACCTCTTTAGACAAGAAGCATCTTGCCATTAATGAGCATGTCTCCTCCAAGAGGTATGCTTGTCCCCCAGCTAAAATTTCAGCCTCCCCTGCTGATCAATGAGAGCAATGCTGCCACTTCTGGAAGAAGAGAAGAAGAACAACCAAGTTTGGATTCCAGGTTCAAGGCATTGGGAGGATTAGACAATTACAAGCATGGGGAGGCTCTCATGATGAAAGAACCGGCTGCAAGGCCCTATAAAAGGGGGAACTGCACTCTCAGAATCGATCCATCTCTATCTCAATCTCTGGTTACCCCTTCAGTTGCCAAAACCACACAGAAAAACTCCAGGTAGAAGGCAAGAAGGAAGAAGAAGCAGCAACAACTCAGTGAGGAAGCCAAGTTGAAGAGTAGCCAACCCAGCTTCGCTTGGGCCCATGAGTGAATCCTTTCACTCCCAGGAGTGGCTCAGAAACTGCACAAGCTTTTTTCTCGTCTCTTGACTGTTAGCTTGAACTTTGTTTATTATGCATACTTCTATGATGTCTGTTGATGTAGTAGATTCAGCATTAATCTGTATGAGTAGCCAAACAGTTCCCAGGGGTTATTCTCCTCAACTGATGTTGTAGTTGTTAATGCACTGGTTTTGTTTCTTGTTTTAAGGTTGAAAGTTTTTCTACATTCATTTACTTGATCACTAAATTGAATGCATGCTAGAACTAAGGGAGATCTGGAAAGATAAACTTGGTTTGGATTGTTTCAACCTTAACTTATGACATAGAGGTAACAGTCTATGGTTTTAACTGAGATAGGAATATACTTAGTTAACATAAGCATTCTTGAAGGCCTAAGAACTTAATGACTTTGTATCTGGAATCAATCATTGGAAAATAGATTGTTAAGGTTGCAAAGATGAGTCTAAGAAAAATGAGAACTGACTTAGAGTTATAAGTGAGCTGAATGAATGAGAACTCAACCATTACAGTGCTAATAAACAATTACAATAGTAAGAAGAGAAGAAGAACACCCCTGGCCTTCATTCCCCTGAGTGACTGTTTCCATTCCCCTGAGTGACACCTTGTCTGACTGGTAGGTTTTGTTTTCACAACAATTTTGGTAATTAGTTGTCCTCGTGTGATCGAACTAGCTTCCATTATCTACAAAAAAAAAATCATAATCCAATCTAGTAATATTTTTGGTGAACTCGGCACGCACCAATGGGATATATTGTTGATGCAATAATTGTGAAATTAATTGTGAGATTACATTTGATTTTTTTCGGCCTCAATATGCAAGAGATTAATTAAATTGTTACTTGAAATCATTTTGTCCTTATTTCATGGGATATATTCCTTTTTTGTTACATTGAAACTTTGATACGGGATAAGATTTATTTTACTGTATTATTTAATTTATTTTTGGAATAGAATTTGGCTAATTAATTAGAAAGATAATTAGTAAATGATAAAACTTTTCTATGAATAGTAAAGGATAATTCATTCATAATAGATATAATAAGAGTGTTTATTTTCAAGGCCACCACCTTTACTACTTGAAGCCACAGATTTTAAAATTGGACTATTTTACTCTTATAATTTTTTCAAATCAAATAATTTGACTAGAAAGAAAATAAAAAAAATAAAAAATTTAAAAAAAAATTGACCGACCGGGCGGTCTACCCGTCCCGGGTTAATCGGGGACGAGCAAAGAACGCGTCCTCTTGTTCGCCTGAACGCGTTCATTGCGTGTCCTGGTTTAACACGGGACGCGCAATGAACTTGTTCGGGCGAACAAGAAGACGCGTTCCTTGCCTGTCCCGGGTTAACACGGGACGAGTGGATTGCTCGATCGGTCCCGGTTCGGTGCGATATGGTGAACCGGACTGGTCGGGCCCTTTTTTTAATTTTTAAATTTTTTTTTAATTTTTTTGTAATTAAAACATAGCAATATTTGTTATTTAAAAAAGTCTAAAAATTAAAAAATATCAATTGGATTCATTGCTATTTTTTTAATTTTTAGATTTTTTGTTGTAATTAGTTAATTCAGTTTTTAGGTCATTAGATTTATTAATAATTTATTATTTGAGTTACATTAAGTATCACCAATCTTTGTAGTACAAAAAATAGTTATTCTATTTGCGCATATTTGTCATAATCTTTGTAGTACAATTATTATTTTTCATTATAAATGTATAATTATTATTTTAACTAAAAATTATCTTTAAAATAATGATTAAAGTAAAATTTATATTTTAATATCAATTTAAATAAATTAACTTAATAAATAATCTTAAATTTATTTTCAAGTAAAAATTAATTACTTGTTTATTTTCAAGTAAATATAAAATCGAGAGTTTAAGCACTAAAGTATAAATATTGTTATCCATTGTACTTAATTAAAGCAGTAAACAAAAAGTACACATGTCAGCTCCACAATCAAAATTTTCCCTCCAAAAGCCTTTTTCAGTACAAAATGAAAACTGACATGTGGCGCTCTAGATTTTGAGATAAAAATTTGTCTTTAAAAAATGCTCCATAAAAAAATAAACGCCAAAACATGTGCAGATAAAATATAGAACCCTATAGCTAATTTTCATTTACATAAGATAATTATAAAAAGTCCAATTTTCACCAGCAAATTAGGGAGATAACCACGTTTCCCTGTAATAATTATAATGAAAATCATATCTTCATATATACAAATGATTTTCCGGTCATAGTCAAGGATGTAAAAAAAGGAGATGTACACCGATTACACTGTTTAATTAACCATAATTACATGAAATCGAATATTCTCCATTCCTAAAATTAAAATTAACCATAATTACATGAAATCGAATATTCTCCATTCCTAAAATTAAGCACTTCATCCGTGTTTAACTTCTCCATTCCTAAAATTAAGCACTTCATCCGTGTTTAAGCACTCCTGAATTCCTGTACAATCAAAATAAAATCAATTCACTTGATGTGATGCATTTATAAACGAAAATTCTACGAGATAAACATCCCTACTTTTGAATTTTGAGTGATTCATCTATATCTGTACAACAGACTGTGTGTGTATATTTCTTCTCCATCTTCTCCAGTTTTAAAGGGAAGTTCAAAATCTCAAAGATATACTTACCTTCATATATCCATGACATATCTTCCCAGTGTTATTAAATAGCTGTATAAATCAATCCATAGGGATCATTCAATCAATATCAAAGCCCTTCTGAAAGAACCACAACAAAATTCTTAAACTCTCAGAAAAGAAATCACAATCCTTTCTGATGGATTCTGCACAGAAAAGAAATCTCCCTATTTCTGAAGGTGCTTTGATTCCATCAGCTGATCCTGTTGTTCCAGAAAAGGCCAATGATATTCAAGAAGTCCCAGGGGAAGCATATGTTACTCCTCCCGTTCAAACATCAGTGTCTTCATCAAAAACCCCTGATGATGGATCCCATATTGCAATTCCTTCTGTGAATTCAACTGCTCAAAGTGGAACTCCTGTTGTTACTCCTCCCGTCCCACAACTTGCTGCACAAAGGTATATTGTGGACATCAATGGGTTGGTGCCAACCAAAACCATACATTTCAACATTGTCGTTCGTGTGATGACTATATGGAAAATGTATGATACTCAAAACAAGAAGGATGTCAAATCACTTGAATTGTCTTTGATTGATGCTCAGGTATTTTTTATTCCTTTGTTTTTTAAAATACATTCTTTGATGTACATCACTCTATTTGTATGTTTAAGTATATTATATATAAATTAAAAATTTTTAACCATGCAGGGTTCCAAGATCCAGGCTACCATACCTGCTCGAATCATGAAAGATTTTGTTAAGTACTTTAAAGATGAAGGTGTTTGCAGGAGGCTGTGATGTTTTGATCACTGTCTTAACATAAATGGAGGTTACCGTTGCTCCAACCACGAGTATAAAATTGTGTTTGGATCTGACACTTTGGTTGAACAAGCTGTTGACCTTGACATACCTAATCATGTATTTGAGTACACTCCTTTTGCAGAAATTACGAATTTTGTTGCCAACTTTGACTATTGTTGTGGTAAGTGTGAATTATAATTTGTAATGAGATTTTTACATATTTTTTCCATGTATAACTTTCACATATATTCAACTATTTTGTCAGTAAATACCTGTACAAATTACCCCTTTCTTTCAGATTTGATAGGACACATAATTGGCTACAGTGATCCTATTGTTGAAAAGGGTAAGAAGAGGATTTCTGTGCAATTGGAGGATGAAAGGTATACACTTTTACTATTGGTTTCTTAAAATACATGATTTTTTCTTTTGCTTTTTTAATCCAACAATAATATATTATTAACAGAGTATACATATATGCAGAGCTAACACGTTAAAGGTTACTCTTTGGGAAGAACACGCTGACCGTGTTCTCAATTGTATGAATAATGAACCCGAATATCCTGTTGTTTTGATTGTGCAGTATGTCAAGTGTAAAAAGTACTATTGTAAGTTTTCAAGACATAGATTTCAGTTATGAGCAATGTCTATTATGTAATCCTTATACTGTTTGCTGTGTTAATGCAGCAAAAGTTTCAGCTACAACCAACCTCTTTAATGGCAGGATATACCTCAATGATATGAACATTGCTGACATATACGAGTACAAACACAGGTAATTTTAAATATTCACAGGGAGCATATACAAGTCAAAGCAGGAACTTCAAAACATGTATATTCATAAATGTATGCTGTAATTTAACAATATACTTACCTCTATAGGATGGAGCAAGAAGAGATAAAAAGTGCAAGAATCCAGAAGATCTCCCTGCTGTCTTCAATTTCAGGTTACACAACGTTTGAAGACTTTCTCCGTGATGTAGAGATGCTAACTTTGTCTGGAATTAGCGAATTGGATCAGGTAATGAGTTGATATTATATAATATAAATAAAATTTATAATTTGTATACCTTAATGATTCTGCAATATTTTTGTTTAAAGGCCTGCAACGTTGTGGTATTTGCTAAGATAAGTGGATTAGCAAAGGAAAATGAATGGTCATACACAGGTTGCAGCCTCTGTAACAGAAAGGTTTTTGAGATAGAAGATGCTGAGAAGAATAATGGAGGAAATAAAAAGCTATCATTTGCAAAAAGCAGAAGGACAGATAACGGAAAGGCAATTTCATGTCCAAAAAAATGGATGTGCAGCAGTCATGGACCTGTTTCTGCTGTTGGGCCAAAGTATAAACAATATATTAAGCATTGTAGATTTTTTTCCCATTTTAGTTTCAATTATTATTCAATTTCATTATACAATCACTAATTACTTTTTATCTGTTCAATCTACTTCAGATTCAAACTGCAGGTATATGTTGTTGATGGTTCAGGTAGCAGGATTGCTACACTTTGGGACAGAATGGTTTACAATTTCATAAACAAGAGTGCTGCCGAACTAATTCAGGAGGTATACTTCAATATGTTTCCCTAAGTTTTTTTCCTTGATGATTACGATGCATCTAATAGTATACAAATATTTATTACTTACACGAGATGCCTATTGATAACCTATATAGGGGAACTTAGATTACCCTGATATCCTAGAGGAGATTGTGGGGAGAAAGTGTTTGTTCAGGCTGGATGTGCCCAATTACAATATTAGGAACAATACAAGTGAGATATCTGTTGCAAGGATTGCTACTGATCATGATATTATAAAGAAGTACCTCGAAGCTGTTTCTGATGATCAGGTTAACTTTCATTGTTTACCAATACACACATATACATACATATTGTGATTATAGTTATGTGACAACTTTTTAAATGTTCCAGGACATTGACCCAGAGCTAAGTGCAGAATTCTATCACTCTGTGACTCCAAATCAGGACAACAATGCTAAGGTATTTTATATGTGTCAAACAGTACCTTTAAAATATCAAAGTGTTTATTATTGAAGTGAAAAAGACATGCTTGCTAACTTACGACAACGTTGGATGCCCAGACAGCTGTTTCGTGCACTGATGAAACTGATTTGGTGTTGCTTGGAGATGACTCGGCCGATAGTCCTCCTCCAAAAAAGTTTAAAAATGCACATGAAGGTGAAGAAAGTGTCAAGTCTCACCCCAACAAGCGGGTCAGGAAGCTGTGATAAGCAAAAGAAATGGCAGCAATTTTCTGTTTTCATAATAAAGTTTACACCTTTCGGTGTTTATATGTTTCCCGGTCCAGAATATTGATTATTGCGAGAACTTTTCATTATTTTGTTTACGTTTTCTTGGAACATTATCATTTTACAAAGCATAAGTTTTTATCATTTCTGCTTTTGATTTCAATATTCTGTGTTGTTGATTATGTTATGTTACATTTTATTTCCATTCACTAGATCATCATAATGTGTTTGTTATGAATGTTGCAGTTTACAAAATGGTAGGATATATGTCAATGACATATACGAGTACAAACAAATTACTTTTTAAATATTCACAATGATCATACAGAAGTCATAACATTGACTTGAAAACATGTATATTCATAAATGTATGCTATAATTTAACAATATAATTACCTCTATAGTATTGGAGCAAGAAGAGATAAAAAGTGAATAATCCATAAGATCTCCCTGATGTCTTCAATCTCAGGTTACACAACGTTCGAAGACTTTGTCCGTGATGCAAAGATGCTAACTTTTTCTGGAATTAGCGAAACGAATCAGGTAATGAGTTCATATTATAAAATATCTTTACAAGTTATAATTTGTATACCTTAATGATTCTGCAATATTTTTTCTTAAAGGGCTGCAACTTTGTGGTATTTGCTAAGATAAATGGATTAGCAAAGGAACAATACAAGTGAGATATCTGTTGCAAGGATTGATATTGATCAAGAAATTATAAAGAAGTACCTCGAAGCTATTTCTGATGATCAGGTTAACTTTCATTGTTTACTAATACACACATATACATACATATTGTGATTATAGTTATGTGACAACTTTTTAAATGTTCTAGGACATTGACCCAGAGCTAAGTGCAGAATTCTATCACTCTGTGACTCCACATCAGGACAGCAATGCTAAGATGCTTTATATGTTTGAATACCTTTAAAATATCACACTGTTTATTATTTTAAATGAAAAAGACATGCTTGCTAACTTACCACAACGTTGGATGCCCTTTCAGCTGTTTCGTGCACTGATGCAACTCATTTGGTGTTGCTTGGAGATGATTCGGTCGATAGTCCTTCTCCTAAAAAGTTTGCAATTGCACATGAAATTCAAGAAAGTGTCAACTCTCTCCCCAACAAGATGGTCAGGAAGCTGTGATAAGCAAAAGAAATGGCATCACTTTACTGTTTTCATAATAAAGTTTACACCTTACGGTGTTTAGATGTTTCCCTGTCCAGAATATAGATTCTGTTGAGAACTTTTCATTATTTCATTTAAGTTTATTTGGAACATTATTCTTTTGCAAATCATAAGTTTTATTCAAGAAGTACATGTTGGAATACGATAAATCAGGAATATGAATAATTATCCCTGCACTGCTGAATTAATACTATATTGATAAAATGGTAAGCACACACATGGATTAAACTGAATATTTCAATCTGGATAAAATGGTAAAGATACAGACGGATTGAACCGAATATTTCAGATTGGATAAGTGAACTGAATCTTCATATCCTGAAAAGTCTCTATAAAATTAGTATATTTATTGGAATTTTTAAAGTTTCAATTTCATCAAATTTGAAAGACTTTTATGTGAACGTGGATACAATGGACAGATAACTGATATGTTTTATCCCTAAAAAACTGGTGAAATAATCAATTATTTGGGAGTTGATTGGTTGTTAATAAATAAAAATATTTATACAGAGTTTCATTCCTTAACTGTTAAGTCTAATAAACTCCTAATTATAAGGGATCTTAAATAGGTATATAAAAACAGAATAAAAACATATACTCACGCATAACCCAAATTCAGTTTTAAACAAAACATAAAAGCTAAAGTTCTTTGCAGTTTTGAGAAGCAAAATAGGTTGAATTTCAGCAGTCAAAATGGATTATGGTTATGATCAATTGGTTTCAGTTCCAGCAAACATTCGAACAAAAGGATTGGTAAGTATATAATACAATCTCAATTATGAGTTTAGTATAATTACTTTTATGCTTTGTAATTTTTATCTTTTTATCAGATACTTAGCAGTAACCTCACTGCAAATTTAAGACATGTTGGGCAGCAAATCATGATTGAAGTACCAGGGATTCGCAGTGTTTTTGCAAATATGCATATTAATAAGAAAAAGAGGTGTCAATTATACGGATCTGCACTTGAGGAGTTCTTTGCAGCCATCGGTGTTTTTCCTCAATCTAAGATTCCTGTTGTTTATCACAAGTCTTCTAACGTTCTGCATTTATTTAATTTTAATCACGATGGATGCCAATGTTTTTCCCCTGATCTTAATGCAAACATTGGACATCGGTACCTTTTGGAGTTAAATCCTAACAATTCTCTCCGATGTGTAAGTTTAAATTATTCCTCCAGCTTCTATCGAGGTTTTTAATTTTTACAATCTGTTTGGTACAGAAATTTATTGTCCTGATTGTCTTTGTTTTTCAATTGTAGGTTATTAACCCACAGTACTTTAGGGCTATAGGTTGGCCTTTGAATCAAACTGTTTCACTGATCCTTGATGATAAACACAAACAGTGGAATTTTAATATATATACACAACAGGGTGAACCTGTAGGTTTTGAAGGCAAAATGTAGGCAGAATTTCATGATCTTTACTTTAATCATCTACGAGGTGTAAATGTAACATTCATTTACACAGGGCAATTATACTTTAGGTTAAGGGTTTTCAACCTTGAAGGTTACTGCTGTGATCAGGATATATTTGCTTCGGATTCATCTGAAGGTTTGATCAATTTACATTTCATATGCAAAAGAAGTTTATTTGATTAAATTTATGCTTTTATATCTTGACTTAATTTTTACTTCACTGTTGCAGGTGAAGTTGACACAATTGACTACATACGGTCTAATAGTGATCAGAATACTTTCAATGTAGTCATGAACACTGATGTCATTCAACGTGGTAGATTGGTGAGATAATGGTTACCATTTGTAACTTACGAAAAACAGAATTTTACCTTCAATTATATAGCATTCACTTACTGTTATTATTATGGATATTTGATTTATATTTTTTTGTATGAAAGGAAATACCATGGCACATTGTCAGAAGACTTGATATTCAAGACTACAATAGTTTGATCATATACTACGATGAAGAACCTGTTATCAAAATGGGCCGTGTCTATTTAACTGATTATCCTAATCACTTCATTGTCGAAGGAGATATTGAGTACATGATGGGTTTAAAAAGGATCCATACTGGTGTCAAGCTCGGATTTCATATAGATGCAAGAAAGGCAGTTAATAAGGAACATTTGATCTTGGAAGTACTGTAATAGTTTTAGCTGTTATGTTATTTGGAATAATTAATCATAAACTTATTATTTTCCAAATTTCAGTCACAATTATCTATTAAATAATTGAATGTTGATTTTCCGTTGTTTTATCCATAGACATTTTGATGCTTATAATCTAATGCCATAATTCAAAGTCTTTGATCTTACAATCGCATAAATTCTTATAATCATACATATAAGAAATAACCAGTCCTTAATAATTGACCACTAAACATCCAATCAGTAAATTGAAATTAACAGTAAATGCAGGAAATTGGTTTTACTGAATTTTAAAGTTTCAAACGACTATATAATTATAAATACATTAATGACAATTTCACTGTGAATTGGGTGTTTATATCCTATTTTTTTGGCAACATCATTGATCTTTATCAAAAAATATTCGTTAGTGATAATGTATTTAATTTAATATATATTCTATCATTTCAATCACATCAGGCTTAAATTCCTGTTAACATTCTTATTTAAACACATCTTATAAATTCCAATCCTAAACATCATACAAACTTATAGGCACCATGAAAACTAAATGGGATGCAAAGCAGGCCAGATTGATAAGAAAGGGGATTTTATAGAAAAAAAGACTCAGATTTCATCAACCGATAATTACTGGTAATCCGCCAGTTCCAATTGTAATACCACAACTTTATGAAGTCAGTGGTAAGAGGAAAAGAATTCATAGAATAAAGATATTGGAATTACCCTGTCCTGATCCAGTTATTGCGAAAAAGTCCAGGATTGATAGAAAAGAGTTGTTAGATATGAAAAGAAACAGGTCAACCATCCATGGTGAGCAAAGGTCAGAGATCAGTGTTAAACCAAGTTGTGGAAGATCTTACAGATTTTGAAGAGGAAGGTATTTTTGGATAAAAGGAAGGGTAAAGTTATCCCAGAAAAACCAATTGTTACGATGGGTGGTATTGCTATTCATGGATCAAGTAATTTCACATTCATGTATTCCGGGGATACAAGTTCACAACCCATGAGGAATCCATTTGTTCCAATCAAATATTCAGATCACAATTCCAAAAAGATAAAAGTAATGATAACGCAACATGTAAGCCATCATCTTTTTTATTAATTTCTTTTGTCAATTTAATAGATTTTCCATTGTACAAATAATTCGTATATGAAACAAATTTGATATAGAGTAATTGAAGTTCTACAATCTAACCTTGCTTTATTGTTTGTTGTGAAATTGATTTTGTCTGCAAGCTGTTTTGGATGATAAATTATCATCAAATCCGTTTATTCTTCATCAGACCACAACAGGTGCATCGAGAAAAAATTTGCGGCCTGGAAAATACAAAGTCATTAGCAGGAATTTAACATGCATAAATACAGGTAACATTCTACCAATCCATGTACACCATAATCTATTAATTATCATACAACAATTATTTAACCAGTATAATACATGATATGTAAATATACTTTTTATTCAGAGTATGATGACTTGGGAGATCCAATTTATGTATGTGAATATTGTGGATCTAACATGTGGTATGAAGAAAGAGTGAACAAGCAAAGGAGACCTGAGCAACCTAAATTCTCTCTGTGTTGCAAGCAAGGAAAAATACATTTACCCTTCCTGCAAGAACCGCCTCTTAAACTAAGACATCTGTTCATGTCAAATGATGATAAAAGCAAACATTTCTTGGAGAATATCAGAGCGTATAATAACATGTTCGCATTTACTTCTATGGGTGGTAACATAGTTAATTCAATAAATGATGGACGTGCCCCATATGTTTTCAAAATGCAAGGACACAATAGCCATCTCATGGGTAGTTTACTTCTAGAGGATGATTCCAAACCCAAATTTTCTCAGTTATACATATATGACACCCATAATGAAGTCAGCAATAGGATTGGAGCTTTAAGGTACATTTCAATGCTTACTGTATAATAGCTTTTACATTTAATTTTATAATCAATGATCCACATTTTAAACCATTATATTATATTGTGTGCTATTTATGACAATGCAGTTCAGGGAAAAATCAAAAAAAAAAACAAAGGAGCTTGATGCTCATATTGTGAATGACATAAAGACTACGATGGATGAACACAATGTTTTGGTTAAAACATACAGAAAAGTGCATGACACTGTCCAATCAGATTCTGCGAGTGAGATTAGACTAAAACTAATTTCCACCAGGGAAACTGATGCCCGAACGCACAATCTTCCAACTGTTGATGAAGTCGCAACTATATTACCTGGCGATGAAGGAAATGAAACTGAGACAAGAGATATAATTGTTCAGTATAAATCTGGACAACTTTAGCGTATAAATGAGTTGCACCCATCGTACATCTCACTTCAATATCCTTTGTTGTTTCCTTACGGTGAAGATGGTTTTCGGATCAACATAAAACTTGGAGATCCAGAATCAGATTCTGACGAAGATGAAAATGTGTATTGTGATGATATTGAAGGGGTATATGACGAAAGGAAAGGCCCGCGTAAATGGATGAGTATGTGTGAGTGGTTTGCATACCGTATACAGGACAGAGACATGGATGGATCAATGCTGCTATATGGACGTAGACTTTTTCAACAGTTTTTAGTTGATGGATACAGTGCAGTTGAAGCTGATAGGATATTTTGGGTCAAGAGAAATCAAAGAAATCTTCGATGTGACACTTATGAAAACATTAGAAAGCAGCTTGACAATGGAAATACTGAAGCTTCAGATGTTGGGCAGAGAGTGATAATACCTTCTACTTTCACAGGAGGTGAAAGATGGAAAAGGGAGAATTACATTGATGCAATGACTATAGTTAAGACATATGGTTATCCGGATGTTTTTCTAACATTTACATGTAATAACAAGTGGCCAGAAATATTAAGATATTGCGACAAGAAAGGATTGAGGCCCGAAGATAGGCCAGATATAGTTTCAAGAGTATTCATGATGAAGCTTGAAAGACTGATGAAAGAGATAAAAACTAAAGAGGTATTTGGCCGTCAGGAAGCAGGTTTGTTTGAACTATCATTTATATTTATTTTTTTAAAAAATTTTTTTAGTTTTTATACATCAATAGTAATTATTCCATACAGTTAATATAGTATACTAGCTTTACAGCCGTCTACACGGTTGAGTACCAGAAAAGAGGGCTACCTCATGCACATATAGTAGTGTGGTTACATCGTGATGACAAACTATCCAAACCAGAGGATATTGATAACTTCATATGTGCTGAACTACCAGATAAGGATAATAATCCTGTTCTATACAACATTGTTACTGAGATGATGATTCATGGTCCTTGTGGTAAAGAGTTTCCTTTCAGTCCTTGCATGGTGAAAGATGAATGCTCAAAAAAATTCCCTAAAAAGTTCAAAGAGGAAACTACAATAGGTGATGATGGTTTCCCTGATTACAGGAGACGTAATGATGGTAATAAATTTGAAAAGAATGGTGCTACAATAGATAATACATGGGTGGTTGGTTACAATTGGTATTTGACACTCAGGTTTCATGCACACATCAATGTAGAATGGTATAATCAAGCAGGTGCTATAAAATACTTATTCAAATACTTGAATAAAGGATCTGACCGAGTTTCATTCAAATATACAATGAACGGAGAAGTAATCAGAGAAGATTATGATAAGCGCCCAAAGGATGAAGTAAAAGATTGGTATGAAGATAGATATCTTTCAGGTTGTGAAGCTGCATGGCGTATCTGTAACTTTCCAATACATCATAGAACACATCATGTTGAAAGGCTAAGTTTCCATATGCCTGGTCAACAGAGTGTCGTATACGATGAGGATCAGACTGTGGAAACAGTAATAAGCAGGGCTTCCAACAGAGAATCGATGTTCACTGGTTGGATGCAATGTAATGCCATTTACCCTGAAGCTATGAATCTTACTTACATTAATTTTCCTTCCAAATTTGTGTGGAAAAGAAAAGATAGATTTTGGAAGCCAAGACTAAGAGGTTCAAGCATTGGAAGAATTCATTGGGTACCTATAGCATCTGGTGAACCTTATTACCTCAGGATGCTCCTTAATATTGTTAAAGGCCCGACATGTTATGAAGATATAATGACAGTAGATGGTGTACAACATATGACATTCAAAGATGCTTGCTTTGCAAGGGGTTTACTAGAAGATGACAAAGAATATATTGATTGCATTCTTGAAGCATCTGCTTGGGGTACAACAACCTACTGCAGACATCTATTTGCTAAACTATTGGATGGTGATATTTTGTCAAAGCCTGAGAATGTGTTGGATCAAACTTGGGAATGCTACATAGAAGATATCCCATTGTAATTGAAACGGTTGTTCAAAAATAAAGGTGTGTCATGAAAATATTTTTCAATTATATTACACATTTAAATTAGTACACATCTTTTTTTTAATATATACATAGATACTAAAATGGTATATACAGATTACATTGTGTCTGAAGGTGAGCTACAATTGCACGCACTGAAGGAGATTGAGTTAATATTACGAACTCATGGTAGGACCTTGAAGGATTTCCCAAGTATACCATATCCTGGCGACGTATTCATTGAGGATGGGACAAATACCATGATCCACGATGAGTTAGACTACAACAGGTCTTCATTGAGGGAAGAACATGATGTGCTGTATGGTAATCTAACTGACGAACGAAGGGCAATTTACAAAGAATCTTAGATGCAGTTGAAAAAGAGAGTGGAGGATTATTCTTCGTGTATGGCTACGGTGGAACTGGAAAGACTTATGTCTGGAGCACACTTTCAGCAACAATTCGAAAAGAAGGAGAAATAGTACTAAATGTAGCTTCCAGTGGAATTGCTTCATTACTGTTAGTTGGTGGAAAAACGGCTCACTCAAGGTTTCATATACCAATTAACGTGACCGATGAATCGATATGTAGGATAAAACCAGGAACTGATTTGCCTGCTTTGGTTAAGAGGGCAAAACTTATTATATGGGACGAGGCACCCATGGTACATAAACATTGTTTTCA